CTAGACCACAGCAACTTTCCTATAATTTCTTCTAATTCTGTTATGGTTCGTGTGTGCCCATTCAGAACTATAACCCACTGCTGTGTATTTGATTAGCTCTCTCCATGAGAAGCATTTTTCTTTTTTTTCTTGACTTGACCTTGAAGGTGTGGAGGGGAGGCACTAAGTCTGCTGTACCTTTTGATCTTGTGCTTGATCTGCCTCTTCTCAGGTGCCCACCCCAATGCTGCACCCAGAGCAACGCTCCAATGAGTTTCTTACACAAACACATTCCTACCTTGTGGTCTGCCAGAAAACACAAAATACAGCAGCTTCATTTATTTGGTTTTTTTAAGATGCTCAAACACTAGCTTCCTTTGCTAATCTAATGGACATTTATACCAAATAAGAAGCAAAAATATCAACAGAAGTGAAGAGCCTCTCATTTCCTTCCTGTGATCTGTTCCCACAGGACTAATATAAGAAAAAACTAAGGCAGAACCTTGTTTTCAACACCAAAGGCCAAAAAGATGTTGGAAGGGAAAGGGCTTTCACCATCTGCCAGAATTGTCTTCCTCTCTCCCCACCCCATCCAAGGCATACAGAAACAGCTGGGCCAACCCCGGGGTTCAATGAGCTGGGGGTCCACAGCCAAGAGAGGCCCCAAATGACTTGCTGTGGGTGGGCTTGGCTGTCCCCAGCTTCCCCCTCTGAGGTCAGAGAAATTCTCATGTCCCAAGCAGCCTATTGCTCATCTCTACACAAAATATTTCAATCTGTTGATAATTTATTTTTGGTCCCACATTTTGAGGGGGAAAAAAATGAATGTTACTCCCTAACTTCATTAAGCACTAAGTAAAGAAGTTATTGCTAAACTTTTAAGAAATTTGAGTTACCTTAGACAATAGACAGGGAAATCAAACTATGCTATGTAATACTTGTGTTTCTTTTCTAATGAGGAAATGTTATATGTATATGGAAAAGTGAAGATGGTCCCAATATACCATTAAGTAAAAAACAAAGGTTGGCCCTAACTGGTTTGGCTCAGTGAATAGAGCATCGGCCTGCGGACTGAAGGGTCCCAGGTTCGATTCCGGTCAAGGGCATGTACCTTGGTTGCAGGCACATCCCCAGTTGGGGGTGTGCAGGAGGCAGCTGATCAATGTTTTTCTCTCATCGATGTTTCTAACTCT